CTATTCTATTCTATTCTATTCTATTCTATCTCTGAGCAATGGGTGGAAACTAATCAAGGAGAGAAGCAACTTAGAACTAAGGAGAAATTTCCTGACAGAACAATTAACCAGTGGAACAACTTGCCTCCAGAAGTTGTGAATGTTCCAACACTGGAAGTTTTTAAGATGTTGGATAGCCATTTGTCTGAAGTGGTATAGAGTTTCCTGTCTAAGCAGGGGGTTGGACTAGACCTCCAAGGTCTCTTCCAACTCTGTTATTCTATATTCTAGATATTCTGAATAGTGACACTACTGACCAATCTATAAACAATCCAGAATACAGTCTTGGAAAATTCCACACCTGAGCCTTCAGCTCTGAAACTCAGCCCTGTATCTTTTTCCTGAGTCCAGGCAAAACATTCAAGAGTTGGGTCTTCTTCCCCAGTCCGGTATTTCTAACTCCTCGCTCGGTTTTACGGACCGAGCCTAGACCTGGCGCCTAAACTCTACAAGTCACCTACACCCGGGCAGAGGGCGAGCTCGTCCCGTCCGTCCCTCAAATAATCCCCCCCTCGGAGCCTCACCTTTCCTCCCGACTGACTCACACATAATCATCCCCCGCAGCCAAGATAAGCGGCGGGGGGGGGAGGGAGGACGGAGGAAGCAACCGCTGCGAGCGGCGCAATTGCAAATAACTGCCGCGCGCGCCGTTAAACAAGTACCCCGCTCCGCCCCTGCTTCAAATCTCACGCCGGGAAGGCCCCGGCTTGTGGGGAACCGGCACAGGCAAAGCCCACCAGCAAGCCTGGAGATTAATCGACCCCGCCTTGGAAAGTCCCTGTCTTGCAGATGAAGCGAGCAGGGCGGTTTTTCCCTTCACGCCAGCTCGACTGTTGTGGAGAGTGGAAGAGGGGGTGGGGGCGTCAGGAGCTCGTGTGGCCGGGGCACGCCCGGCCTCCAGCGGCCTGGAAACTTGAAGCGCATCCCGTGGGCAAAGTAAATAATAAAGCTGCCAACGGCGGAAAACATCCACCCGCGACGCAAGGCTTTTCACGGTGCAATAATGCAAAACCTTTGCCTCTCCTTACTACTTAGGGTGGCTTCCTTGCTTAAGTCGCCTAAAATGATTTTAAAAGTGCTCGTTAGGCAGAGCTACATCCGAGCTGCACCCAGTGGTGGATTGAAGCTCACTGGCAAATCTTGGTGCCCCCCTCCTGTGTATAATGCTTTGGTACAAATCTTCATTGGGTTTTTTTCCCCTCAACTTTGTGATGCCCCCTTTGGGCCTGGCGCCCTAAGCACGTGCTTAGTCTGCTTAATGGTTAATACACCACTGGCTGCACCTGTCCCACAGATAGGATGGGAGTCTATGGTGCTCTTGAGGGACGATGGGGGGAGAGGGGAATTATATCTGGAGGGCGGGAGGAAAGCGGGCTAATTGGTTTAGGCTTCCATATTCTCATTTGCACGTGTACTAAAGATCCTCCAAATGCAGTATCGACTGTGGTGAAGTAGCGTTGCCTTCGCAAAAGAGTTTATACTTGCTTGTCACTTAACCAAAAGCAGGCAGCGCCTGGAGAGCCGGCTACTCTCGCTTTGCAAACCGATCGTGCCGGCGCTCTAGAAAGCAATAACTCAGCCGCCCAGCTAAAATCGCCGATTGGAGGCACCAGCTCTGAACGCGGGAGCTGTTTGCTCTTCCACTGTGCTTCGTCAGAACCAGGCCCACATGTCTGACGCCTAGTCTTGATACCCACGTGCCAGTTGAATAAATTCTTATTTAGGAGGCCACTTTTCCCCTCCCCTCCTTTCACCTCGACGACTGCACAATAGTCCTAAAGAGAAACGCTTTTCCCCTGGGTAAAATTCTTGCAATTTATACAGTTAATATAAAACATTGGGCGCGCCAAAAATGATGTTTTTAAGTGCCCGGACAATCGAGTAATACTTCCAGCGGTGCAGAAGAGGAAGAGTGTAAGAAGACCTTCGCTTCGATCTTTTTTTTTTTAAGCAGAAATAAGAAAAGCGGCTGAACAATTGCGGGACCCTCTCCTGCTTGTAAAGCGAGGGGGGGGGGGGTTGGTTGTTGTCCTTTGCGAGTTTTGCTACGGTTTTTCCAGCAGAAAATCCTCGAATGCTCGAGAACAAGCAAGTCCTTCGTAGGTCCTCCGCAGCTTTTTTATCTGAAAAGACATTTGCAAGATTGCCCTTTTTTGTATTGAAAGCTAAAGGTTGCAAATTCCATCTAGCTGAGGTTCGACACGTTTTAAAAATTGAAGCTAAACGGCTCCGATACAGGCACATTAGATAAGTGTAGACGATCTGTGCTTACTCTCTATTTCATGGTGAGATTTTATACACAGCTTTTCGCGTGGGATGGGATTCCCAACGAAGGTTTTTAACCAGAATTAGCACAGCATAGGCATATGAAGAGTTGTATATACAAATACAGTATTCCTGTGTATCCCGGGAAGGGTGGCTATATTCCTGGGCGCCTGGATGGCTATTGGAGGCTTGTTGCGCAATGAGCTGCGGTTCAGAATTTCATATCATGCTTTTATATTTCAGGCTGTTAAGATAACCATTTCTGTAACTTGGGTGTAATGAGGCAGCGAGGGAGCATTTAAGTACCAACCCCCTCCCCCTCCCCACCGGACGCGAGAGGCAGAACTCCCGGCTAAAACGTTGCGCATCCTTCGGAGCACCGTCGAAGCTGTTCTCCGCAGACGAGCAGCAAACTCCCCTTTGCTTTTTCAATGGCTCCTACTGGCCTGCTTGAAGGGGGAGGGCATCTCTCTGGATTACTCTCTGGATTACTCTTGGGAGGGGAAAAGGATAGACTAGATGGCCTTTTGATCTCGCCTCCCTTAGGCGACTTTGTGTGACTCCCCCGTTCAAGAGGGGAGGAGAAAGCCAGGGTGACCCACACGTGAACAGGGTGGGACCGTCGACAGAGACGAGGGGGGGGGACTGCGAAGCAACCTCGAATAGGGGGAGCAGGGACTTGAAGCGGAGGATGAGCGTGCAAGTGTGTGGAAGTGAAGCGCTTGGATTCGGAGTGTAAAAGGTAAGCGGGCGAGTTGAGACGTGAGAAAGCCTAGGTAAAATCTGCGGAGGAAGCGTGCAGAAACCTCCCCCGCGAAAAGGGGGATCTGATGAGGACTAAGGTCTCTGAAGAAAGTGACACACACACACACACACCCCAAGAGATCCCTACTGGGGGACAAGGGGCAGAGAGGCCGTTCGGCAGGAAGAGTGGGGTCCCGCGGCCGGCTTTGCGCTCGGGAAGGCTATAGGTGCCGAACGCTGCCCATGGGACCACGGCGGGACAGCGTTCACGCCCGTGGGTGTGGGCATTGCGCTCGAACCGCACCCGAAGGAATTGAACAGCTGCTTCCCGGCTTCGGCTGCCCCCGGATGGGGAGGGGAAAACCTCGCCCAGGAGAGGCTTTAGTGAACTGCGGAGCGAGCGAGCTAGAGAAGGGGCAGGTAGATGAGGAGGAGGAGAAAGAGATCGACCGGGACACGGGCGAAAGGGGAGGGCGTCTCCCTGGTTGCTGCGACGGTAAGCTTGGCGAGGCAGGGGCGCGCTTGTGCGTGGACAGTCGGGTAGAAGAAAGGGAAGAGGAGCGCGAGGATCGTTCGGTTACATCGGGTATTCTGGGTTGTGGAGGGGCGGTCTACCCTGCGGGGGTGTCGGGAGAGACTTTCCAGCTTAAGCTGCGGTAAAGGGTTTGGGCACAAGGTCCCTGGAGGAAAGCAGCGATTGCGGGAGCCTCAAAGGAAGAAATAAAGACAGGTGGGTTTCCTGCCAGGGTTCATTGTTGGATTCCCATCTCTTCTCTTCTCTTCTCTTCTCTTCTCTTCTCTTCTCTTCTCTTCTCTTCTCTTCTCTTCTCTTCTCTTCTCTTCTCTCTCTCCCTCCTCCCCTCCCTCCCTCCCTCTCTCCTCTCTCCTCTCTCTCTCCTCTTCTTCTGTTGGGTCACTTGTATCTTTAATAAGGTTGAACAGGCAGAAGTGCAACTGGTGCCCTTCTTTGTTGTACCCATCATATAGGAGATATTGGTGTCTAGGGAATTTCTGACTGTCATCCAGAGTTCATTCAAGAAAAAAGTTTGGAAACCTTGACTCAGGGGCCATGGTGTGCATATGATTAGGGTTATAGATTGGGGACAGCCTGTCTCCCAAAGCTAGATGCAGCAGGGCACAAAGAAGAACGGGTGTCTTCTTCATTTTCTGCCTGTGAACATCTCAGGGCATCTGGTTGGCCATTGTGAGAAGCAAAGTGTGGGACTGAAATCAGTCTTGGTCCAATCTAGTTGGGTCCTTGGAGTCTTAAGGTCTTGTTTTTTTCAGTTGTTGGGAAGAGCTCTATCTACCATACTCCTTTTTTTCTTCCTTGGAAATATATATCCAGGCTAGTCTATGAAGCAGATGTGGTTTGAGTTGCATGAAAAAAGGGAGCTTCTGTCAGTAGCAATAACGATATTGCGTGTAGAAAGCAGTGTAGAAGCCATGATTTGACTTAAACTGGAGGGAATCCAATCCAGGAGGGTGAGGCTGGGCTATTTCCTTAAGGGCCCTCTTTATTATTTGTTTTCATGTTTATGAAAAGTTGCCATTGACAGCAAATGTTCTGAAAAGAAGACTCCATAAGATACTCACATACAGTTATATAATAGTCCCCCATTCCAATAACCTAAGAATAATCCATAAGACAATGACAGTTTTGGAAAAGGTTAATTTTTTGCTACATGTATATCCCCCTTCTGAAAATTAAAGGAGTGCCTATCTCTTCTTGTTTTATCCTCATAACATTGTTCAAAGTAGACTGGGGTAAACTCCATAAACATAACTTCTTGGTCCATTCAACCACTGTCCATTATTCTGTGCTATCTACCTTTATATACAATAACACTTTCAGTTGAATTAGCATTTTCTTATGAATTAGCACAAAATAAGATAAACTAACCCAACATACCACATGAAAATATATAGAATTTTAAAACTAATCCAGCTTAATGTGTTTTCTAGATGTGGCCACCAGGTCTCTATATTGTATGTGAGCTCAGCCATTGATTCTAAACAACTTGCTTTCCACCTGGTTCTTAGCTTTCCCTTTTCCAGGTTCTTCACCCCCATCCCTCCTTGGCAGGGACATGAGGGAGAGGGCGTCATCCAACCACACTAGAGGACCAACCCAACGAATCCAGGTGGAGTACAGTATGGCCCCAAGGAACCCCCATGTGAATACTTGCCTTTTTGCTGCTTGCCTCTGCCTTTGGAGAGGGTAAGTAATATGACTGTTGGGAGTGGAGGTGCCTGTTCTGGAACAGGTGGCCTCAAGAGGATGTGGGTTTTGAAATCACTTGGAAGAACTTTGGGATCAGGGCAGGAGTACCAAAGAAATGCAGTCTACTTTAACCACATTTTCCCACCTTCCCCTCTCTACAGAGCCAATAATAGGGTGATAACAACCTCTGCGGCTATAGTCTCAGGCCAGTTTTGCTCTTTTATCCTTCCTCTGCCTGTTAAATATGAGCACAATTCCTAAATGCCAGAAAAATCTGGGTTTATAATTTAAATTGAGGGAAGCGGGAAGTAGGGCTCCCCAGAATGTGATCTTGAAGATTATTCTTGAAATGAGCTGATAGCCTCTGAGCATGCTACAGATAGCCCTCTAAACACGAGAAGGCTAGAGGGGGTGGGGGGGAATTGTAGGAAAGTAGATTGGATGACGATGCTCTTACCGTTTTTATTGTGGGAATAGTTAATAAATGTTAAGAAATGTGGAAGGTTGGTGGAATCCTCCAACCTTCTTAACAAATACCAATCGCGTGCCTATCAGGGATGGGACACAGTTGGGTGAGGGTAGGTGAATGTTTGGGAGAGTACATTTATCCACCCGCCATATTGTCAGGTGGATGACATCCATGAGCCAAGGATGGTTGCTAATGATGCTGAATGTAGGAAAAGAGTTGTATGTCATATTTCTTCATCTCAGGTGTTAGCAAGCAGCCATCATTAAGGGTGATTTTCATGTTGGCTACAATGGATGCTGTAACAGCCCTGTGTATAACAACTAGGGAAGTATTTCTGATATACATGTCTGGCGTCTTCTGCAAAGCCAAGAATTAGAATGAAGCTGAAATCAGTGTGTTGTGGCCCGCCAGTGGAGCTGGCAGCAGATTCGGACAGTGAAGAGGTTGTGGAGGAACATGGGCCAGTCTGGAGTCTGGGAAAGACTCTGATGAAGGATCTGTGTCAAAGGCAGAGAGGGGCCCAGGGCCGTATGCCAGTTATCAGCTGCCTTCAGAGTCAGACATCAGTGAGGCAGACAGACAGCTGGAGCCTGTTCCCAGTGTGCGCATGCGCAGAGTTGCCAGACAAAGGGAACAGCTAAAGAACAGGGGTCGACTTGAGAGTAAGGTCATAGGTGGATGAAGAATGACCCCTCCCAGAGGAAATAAAAGAGGAGCAAAAGAAGAGTAGAGTTTGCAGGATACAATTAATTGGTTCATGACTCTCCCAGACACCTTGCCAAATTTTGCATATATCGGCCTGGCAGCTCTCCAAGCCAGATAAGGTCTGTGACTGTAAATCCTCCCTTGAAAGATTTTGCTGGATGTGAATGAGCAGAATTCACAGCAAATTAATAAAAAGGGGTTTTGTTGGGACCAGAAGTTTGCTTTATGCTCTTGGGAAGCCTAGGTCAGAACATAGTTCTCCAGTATTAAGTCAGGTATTTTTGTGAAACTTTCCAGGCTGCTCACCTTTATGCATTCATAGAGCCTTTCTCGCTCTAATGCCCCTCCCCCCCAGGTGCTGTACCCAAACTCTTATTATCTCTGACAGCCCAGTTACAGATAGTGTTTGACTTATGACCACGATTGGAACCAGAATTTCCATTGCTAAATAAAGTGGTTGTTAAACAAGTCCCACTAAATGTATGACCTTCCTTGCCAGTGTCATTAAGTGAAACTGTCATTGTTGTATGAAACCGGAAGTCATTAAGCTGATCCATGACTTGGGTTGTTGGAACCAAGGGCGTAAATGATGATCACATCACCCTGGGATACTGCAACTATCATTCGTTCCCAAGCGCCCGAATTTTCATCATGTGATTGTAGGAAGACTGTGATAGTCGTGAGTGGGATGACCTGTCGTAAGTCACTTTTTTCAGCGCCATCATAAGTTTGAACTGACACAAAATGTATGGTGGTAAGTCAAGGACTACATGCATTGTGCTGGTCCAACACATTTAGCTAAAACATTTCAGATGGCCAAGCTAAGGATTGTAGAAAGTTCCTGCTTTGGGCCTTCGAATGCTAATCCAGTTCTAACACTAGAATAAAGGATCAATGGCCTAATGTCCTGTTCCATAATTCGGGGCACAAGCACCACTCTTCCCCTTTTACAGACCAAGGACCTCTGCCTCTGAGAGTTTTAAACCTTGTTGAAATTTGGAAATGGGTGGCATGGGGGTTTCCCCTTTCTACTTCCTTCCTCTCTAATCTTGAAAACACAGCATTGCTTAAGATACTCTTTCCCAGCCTGTTAACCAGACAGGTAGCAAATGAGACGTGTGTAGCCTAAGCCACGCACATTTGGAAGATACCCATTGGGAAAAACCAAAGCTTTAAAGTTAACAGGGAGAAAGAGGCATAAGGCAACCATATCCGCATTGAGTCACCTGCTTGCCACTGTTGATTGACTAGACAAGGGGCACAGCGCAGTGGCGCTTGAGAGATTCTCTACTGGAGTGTTTGTGTGAGTGGGTTTCAGAGAGAGAGAGGAATTTGAATGATCCTTTTCTGATTTTTTAGCTGTACAACTATTCAAGGGTCACCCTTGGCCTTTTTGTGGCACGTCAAGGGTTGCATTCCAAAAAGTGGGTAGATCTGGGATGGAATTCAATCTGCTTTAATTTAAACATTAACCATTTTTCCCTTTGCCCATAAAAAATACAATTTGGGAAAGTGTGGAGGGTTTCGGCCGGTGTGTGTGTGTGCACACGCAACTTTCAGACCAAAGCCATACCCTCAGCTGATGGCCTTCTCCCATCTCAGATGCTTTGAGGATACTCCCAGCTTCAGAGAAGAAAGAAGTCCTGCGATCCTTTGGAGATTTACGGGCTCATTGCAGCTTCTGTAGGCTTTAATTAATGTATGCAAGGACCGAAAGCTCCAAAACCCCTCCCTCCCTCCCCTTTTTTTTGAGAATCCAATCCAGTGCATCTCACAGCAGTAGTGGGATTCCAAAAATTTTACTACCAGTTTTGTGGGCATGGCTTGGTGGGCGTCGCAGAAGACGGATACTGTAAAATCCCCATTCCCTCCCCACTCCAGGGGAAGGTTACTGCAAAATCCCCATTTCCTCTTGATCAGCTGGGACTCCGGGAGGCAGAGAATAAATGGGGGCGGGGTCAATCAGAAGTGGTATTTACTGATTCTCCGAACTACTCAAAATGTCTGCTACCAGTTCTCCAGAAGTGGTCAGAACCTACTGAATACCATCTCTGTCTCACGGCCCTAATAGAAAATACTAGGAGTGGATGTTTTCTACTCTGCAGAGGAGGAATAGAAGCCATCACACCACTCCCATAATTTATCACGTGATCACAAAAGCCTTGGGGAGCTTAGCTCTGGTTTATGAGTAGCCACTATAGTTTATGATGAGCCAGTTACAGCATAGTCCTCAGCTTGTTCAGTCAGATGCATGTTGCACTGGATTCAGACAAGTTTTATCCCCAAACTGTAAGAATGCAGTCTTCGGGTACAGGTCTGCTCCGTTAAGTTGAAACCTCACTGCTTAATGTAGCTTACTTTCCAATAATGCAACCTACTTTTTCGATTGGCTGCAGCTATGCTTCTCTTGCACCCCTACTATGAATGAGAAACACAGATATGGCATATTTTATATTCATATTCCTGTCCCCAGTGAAAAACTGCTTTTGAGAGGGCTGGTTTGATCAAGTGAGAAGGACTGAGGCAGTGCTTGGTCTTCAGGAGAATTTGTCTGTAGGCGTTAAGGCAGAAAGCATTTGTAGTTGTTGTGAGATACTTTCCTGGAAGACTATGTGTGATGGCAATAACACAGCATGCAAGAATTGGTAAAGCTATACATCCAATTGCTACGAGGATGTCCTGAGTCCATTGGGTGGTTGCTATGGTGGCCTCTTCTCATCAGGAAACCTGGCTCCATTCCCTTTTCCCACATTCATATGTCTGTGTCTCCCACTGCCTGGGCTATTCCTACTCTACTCCCTCTGCTGCAGAGACACCCTGCTTTAGATCTGGGAGGAGCGCTGCCTTTTGTCATGGGAACATCCTTCCACTCCCCCTCCCCCATTTTTGGGTGCTGAGCCTTGGGGGGATACTTTTGATCTCCAACCTTGCTTTTATCTAGTGCCAGAGGGGGCCCAGGTAGGGAGTTTCCCCCTGCAAACTCAACCACCCAGGTGCAGCCCTCTCCCTTAGGTGGTGGAGCCTGGCTGGATGGCCAGAAAGTTCTTTTTTTTTTTTTTTTTACAATTCTGCACACATGTTTGACAAAATGCACTTAGCCCGACTCTGTGTGGAGAGAGAAGCCTATGTGGAGTAAAAATTAAAATGCAGGAGATATGATTTTTCATTGCCTATTTCTCCCACACACTCCATCAGTTTGCCTTCTGCCCCTCTGTCAGAATATAAAACCATCTAGAAGGTTTTATAGTGGAGCCAGGGTTGGTGGCCAGGACATCTGCGTCCGCTTTTCTCTCATGGCAGAGAGAAGAGGAAAGTATGTATGCATGCATGCATGCATGTTGGATGTGGTGGCTCAGTAGCTAAGATGCTGAGCTTGTCGATCAGAAAGGTCGGCAGTTCACCGGTTTCAATCACTAGGGCCGAATAACGAAGTGAGATCCCATTACTTGTCCCAGCTTCTGCCAACCTAGCAGTTCGAAAGCGCGGAAAAAATGCAAGTAGAAAAACAGAGACCACCTTTGGTGGGAAGGTAGCAGCGTTCCGTGCACCTTCACCGTTTAGTCATGCCGGCCACATGACCCCTGAGACGTCTTCAGACAGCGCTGGCTCTTCGGCTTTGAAACGGAGATGTGCACCGCCCGCTAAAGTCAGGAACGACTAGCACATATGTGCTAG